AATGTTGGATGATGGTTTGATGGTTGATGGTTGGATGGATGATTGATTGTTGGATGGTGGTTGAATGTTGGATGGTTGATGACGGTTTGATGGATGGATGGATGGTTGGATGGTGGAGGTTCTGCTCTCATTAATCTGCAGGTTTCTCTCTTCAGCTGATAATCTCCATACTTTTGTGTTTTGTTGTTTTTTGTTCCCGATCAGTTTATTTGTAGTTTATTTTTGTGCCTCATGTGTTTTTTAAAATTTGATTTAATTTTTTTCTGATTAATAAAAAATAAATAAACAACAGAGATCCAGAATAAAGATAAACGTGTGTGTCACAGTGGAGTGAGATTTAAAACAATCAGCCTTCAGTTCTTCAGATCAGACTGAAGACAGGATCTGGTCCAGTTCAGCTCCTCAGGTTCTGAGGTTCTGCTCATGAGTCCGGTCCAGTTCAGCTCCTCAGGTTCTGAGGTTCTGCTCATGAGTCCGGTCCGGTTCAGCTCCTCAGGTTCTGAGGTTCTGCTCGTGGGCCCGCCCTCCTCCTCTCGGCCGACAGAAAGCCACACATCGATGGGAGACAAAGAGAGAAAATCTGAGGAACACTGAAGGGAGGGGGTGGAAAATATTCATGTTCTGGATGCACGGGCTCAGATGGAGAACTGTCCAGCATGAAGAACAGATGGTTCTGGTTCTCTGCTTTGAAGCTCAAACGACCCCAGATTGACCCTTAGTTTGTGTTTGATCTCCTTCTATTTAATTTTTATTTTATTAAACTTTTCTTTAAAATTCTGGTTCAGATTCAGGAATCTTCCTGAACAAAGTCCAGACCAACTTTCAGGAACCCCCCAGACTAAAGTGGTTCTAGCAGCGCTGCTGGTGAGTCCGGTTCTTAAAGGTTCTATAGAGAACTGGTTTGATCCACTTGATGACATCACTGCTGATCAGACCTGGTGCTGCTGCAGGTCCAGTTTTTGGTGCCTGAAGGTCCCGTGACTTTTACGTCGGAATCAGAGCTGGATGCTAAAAATGGTCCAAGTCAGACAGACGGAATGGGAGGGGCTACTGGAGAAAATGGGAGGGACTGTGGGCAGAAGGGGAGGAGCTGATGATAAAGAGGTGGGGCTAAAGTCGAAGGGTTGATGGTGACAGAAAGGGGTGTGGCTGAGGATGACAGACAAGTCAAAGGGGAGGAGCTAAAGCAAAGTGGCAGAGATTGAGGAGCTAAGGACAGACAGACAAACATGAGAGGAGGACAAACAAACTAAAGGGGAGGGGCTTACAACAGACAGACAATGGGGGAGGAGCTAAGGACGAACAGACATGAACTTTGTTACCGTCAGTTCGAAGCTCCTCTTCTTCTCGATGTCCTCCTGAGGAGTGTGTGAGTGAGATGGTGTGTGTGTTTTAGAGCTTTGCTCGGAGGAGGAAAAGGGGGAGGCGGGTGAGACAGGTCCAACATGTGTCTTCCTGCTCAGGTGAAGACGCTGCCAACAGGCTGCAGGATATCTGAGCAGAGTTCACCTGCAGGTCAAAGGTCAGGGAGCAGTTTTTATTTGAATCGCCTGGTTCTGATGGATCAAACCCAAAGTTTGGTTCTGGATCAGATCGGTTCCGAGGAGTTGGGACTCTGAACGTTTTTATTTCTTCACTTTGATGAAAAGAATCACTGAATCTCATAAAAGTCCCAAAAACCAGCAACGAGCCTCGGAGCTGGGAGGTTCAGCACCAACTCCACCGAGCTGTCAGCCCTCAGGGAAGCTGCGGGGGACGACTCTCAGCTACTACCACGCTCAAGATCTGTCGAGTAGCTGCCGCGGCCATTTTGAATCAGGTAATCACCATCCACTGAGTTTTATTGAAACCTGTCCGGGGTTCAAGGAATATTTTGCTAACAGACAGACAATTACATGATCACCCACCTTTCACAGCAGCAGGTGATAAAATCAAGTCACCTGCTGCCGTGACAGGTGGGCTATCATGTAACTGTCTCTGTTAGCAAAATATCTCATGAACCAGTGGACAGATTTTAATTAAACGCTCAGAAAGTCCTTATAACTTATTCAAGATGGCCGCCACAGCTAATTGACCTCCGCTAGCACAACCCATCACCTCTGAGGCTGACGTATTTGAAAAGGTGCAGGTGATGAGCATTCTCTCTTTAGGTTTAGTTTAGTCTCTGATTTGTGGTTTCACCCTCGGACCAGGTTCTGACATGAATGTGAACGGGTCGGAATGGTCACCTGCAGGTTCTGGTTCTGATCAGAAACTACTGAACTCTGCCACAAAATGTTAGAAATGCACTTTAAACTGGACGTATTGGTGGGCTGTGAGGGCACAACCAGAAGAGTCTGCTCTAAAACGAAAAGACCAGAACCAGGACTTCCCTCAGCTGATTCTGGACCAGCTAAAATGATTCTCCCAAAGATCTGGTTCTGGTCTGGTCCAGTTCAGATTAAACAGATGTGAAGTCCCAGGTGAGTCACCTGGACACACCCCCTCCTCCTGCTGCACACACACACACACACACACACACACACACACAGATCTGCAGGATCATCAGAACCTCAACGAGCAGCTGTGGGTCCGCTTCATGGTTCTGTTCAGAGCACCTCTGAGTGAAGCAGGTGCTGCAGCACCTCCTGCAGGACACAACGAGTCCTGCAACTGGTTTCAAGAACATTTTCAAAGTGCAGACGTCAGAATAAAAGAGGAATGCATATCGCCCGCCGTCTTTACCGGCAGCCTTTAGACTCGAGTTGTGTTTTGGAGAAAAACAGAAAACCCATTGATCCACGTTTACTAGAGACGGGGCTGGAAGCAGGAAGTTGAAGCTTGAAGAGACGAGCACCCTCTGGTGTCTGGTTCCAGTACCGTTGTTTAGGCCCCGCCCACATAAACACAACACCTCAGATAATTGTTTACAAGTGGTTCTTTGTGCGTTTGTTCAAAAATACATTTTAAAAAAACGCTCAGGCTTAAATAAAAGTGTAACGTAACACTGTGATTGACAGCCTGTTAGCAAGTTGGGTTGTGTGGGCGGGGCCATCGAGGGTACCACCCACAATGGCTTCTTCCGAAGAAACTGTCTTTTTGAACAACATGGAGGAGACGCGTCGCCCATCGAATCAAAACCTCAGAATAATCTCGTGAAACGTTGAGGACTGTGCGTTGGAGATGACTCTCAGCTACTACCACCCCAAAGTTTAGCTCGCCCAGCTTTGAGCGGCGGGCAATACTGATCCATTAAATGTGGACTCCCCTCCTGAACGTCTTTCAGTAACTGATCCTGGATCTGTTTCTGTGGTTTGTTCCTGCAGGAGAAGTTTCCGTCGGTCGTCTCTCTTCCCGGCGGCTGCAGGTCAGAGGTCATGAGCCTGAAGCACCCCGAGCTTCCTGGGTAAAAACTCATCCTGACAGAACCCAACTGGAACCGAGCCGACCGCCTCTGAATCCTCTGCTTGTGTCCGCAGCTGCGTGCTCTTCGTTCTTTGGTCTGTGGAGGTTTCCACTGAAGGAAGCGTCGCTCCGAACCTCCAGCTGCTGCCGAAGATCCCAGAAGAAGGTGAGACCAAACTGAACACAACACCGCTGACAGAGATGGATCCGCCCGGTCAGGCTCGTCGTTGGTTCGCTTCCTCCGTTAATGTTTCTGATTGGCTGGTCCTGAGGACTCGCGCTCGCTCTGATTGGACGGTTTGTCAATAAAATGTGAAACGTCCCTCACGGTTCTTCTCCGAAGCCCAACAGGAACTTTTATTTTAATAATCTGAACTGATCAAACGTCAACACGTTTCAGCAGAATCCAAAGCATTAAAGCCGCAGCCTGTGGCTCGTTAGGGTCACAGCACTCCTAATACGACAGGCAGACAAAAACACAAAGTGCAGCTCACGTCTCATGAGACATAAAATTATGAGAATTATTTGGATCCACATTTACAACCGAACGCACCTGAATAAATCACGACCTTCACCGCACAGAAACTTAACGAGCTCCTGAAAATTTTTTATTATTAAAATGTTTTTGTTTGTTTACAAAAACAATTGATTCTTTATTGATTTTAAAGATATTTTATTGAGATGCAGAACATCTGAAAACATGTTGACGGTCCGAGACTTCAGAACCAGATGAATTTATTCTAATTTATGTGACCAGGTTTACTCAGGTCCTCTGAACAGATTCTTATAGTTTAATTTCATCTTTTATCCAAAAGACTTCTTCAGCCTGAGGAGCTGCAACAAACTGTCTTATAAATATCACCTCCTCGTAGCGGATCAGCAGTTTGTTGTTGACGTCCAGAACTTTTATGTACATGAATGTTTCAGTGCCTTGAGACGACTTGTGACTCGGCGCTATATAAATAAAATGAATTGAACTAGTTCACACGATACAGGACCATCAGTCTAATGACCGATCGTTAGTGCCCTGATGGCTGTTTACTACTCACAGAGGGCTGAGTGATACTAGCAATCACAGCATTGTAAGAGGGGGACAGTTGAACCCGGAGGCCTCCACCCCTGTTTAACGATAGACGGTTTCTTTTCACAAAGATGGCCTCCTTTACTCCTCTCTCAAACCATCGTTCTTCTCTGTCCAGGATGTGAACATCTTCATCCCTGACAGAGTGACCTCTGGCCTGGAGATGAGTGTAGACCTCAGAGTCCTGGCCTGATGATGTTGCTCTTCTGTGCTGGGCCATCCTTTTGGCCAGTGGCTGTTTGTGGAGCCTCCATGTCCAACTGTCCCTCTTACACTGCTGTTATTGCTAGCATCACTCAGGCCCCTGTGAATAGCAAGCAGCCATCAGGGCACTAACGATCGGTCGTTAGGCTGATGGTCCTTCATCATGTGAACAGCTGGTTCTGGAGGTCAGCAGCAAACTGTTGATCCACTATGAGAAGTTGCTGGTTATAAGACTGAGTTTGTTGCAGCTCCTCAGACTGAAGAAGTCCTATGGATTAAAGATGAAACGTTTCAAGTTTTTATTTACATTTTTTTTATCCGTCAAAAGGACCTGACTTAACCTCGTTAATTTATCTACCTGCAGCAGCATCAGGTTATTCTTTCTGATCAATCTGATCCAGAACCTGAAGGTGTTCTCTGATCCATGTTCTTCCCCCTGCAGCTCTCCAGATGTTCCCCCTCCAGCCAGCAGGCGGCGCCGCCAAGGCCTTCCAGAGCCTGCTGAGGGTTCTGGGACCCGAGGCCGCCATCGAGGCCGTCGTCAGAGCCACCGGGCTTTTACCAGAACCCAGCGTTCAGACAGAAGGTTGACGATGAGAGAAAGACGAAGGAAACAGTTTGGTCTCGTAGAAATCTTTATTTTTTTTAAAGAAACATCTCGACTGAGTCAGCGGAGCTCGTTAGTCAAAGTCTACAAAAATAAATAATTTAAATACAAAAAGCCCGACAGCTGAGTGGCCTTTGTATTCTCAAATAGATTCCTCTGTTTATTTACAAAGTATTAAAAGTTTGCAGGCATCACTCGAACGGCGACGCCCAGGCAGCCGACCAATCAGGCTGCAGCTCGCCGTCACATGACCGCCTGAAAAGATGTTGCTTCTGTAACTTAAACCTCCCGGAAGCTGAAGCCAAACAAAACCAAAATGATTTCACGGACGAAGCCTCTGATGTTGAAACTTTGTCTGGATTTAAAATTTAAATCACTTTTCCTATTTTGCATCATTTTAAAAACCTTTTAGTGTTAAAGTTTCTCTACGAGTCAGTTGGAATTAAACAATAATCAAACTTCCTATTTCTATGATCAATCGCTCCCATGAGCCTTGGCGGCGGTGCTCTAACACGATTCGTAGTGGTCGGCTCGGTTCTGTCCGGTCCGCTCCGTCTCCGTGACGACAGCACCCACAGTGGCTGCGCCGAACAGATCACGACTGCTGCTGATCAACGATTGGCCGGTGAGGTCACGGGGGCGGGGCGGACGCCGTCCGACAGGAAGTGAGGTCAAGTGTTACCAGTTTGTATGAAGCCTCCATTTTTTTCCTCTCTAAACGCCAGACGACCCGATTGGGTCGGCAGGAGTTTGAGGTATCAGAGTTCAGGGCTGCGATCACAGGAACAGATCAGTGAACGCAGTCTGTAACAAAACCAGGTAAACAAACATCCCCGCCCACAAACAAACAAACAACAGGAAGTCACGTATGGCACCAGAACCAGCAGAGCAGCAGCTCAAAGCTCAGATCGATGAGGGAACGGCGTGCAGCTGCGTGTGATCGGACCTATCTTCACGTTCTGGTTCTGACCTTTGACCTCGGAGTCCAACCCGACAGGTTAAACGTGTAAAAGTTTTAAACCAGCCCTGGTTCTGTTTACGTTTTCCTTCTAAAGGCAGAAGCAGAGGAAAACGTCCGAATTGTAAACCCAACAGAACCCAGGACCGGATCAGAACCGTCCAACAGAACCTTTGCACAAATTAATCAAATGAAATTTAAAACAACCCGAAGCTTTTCACAAGATTTAGTTTCATCAGAACTTCAACCTGTTGGTTTTACTGCGGGTCCGAACAGAACCGGGCCCAGCTATCATCGATTTGAGCTCATCGGCTGCAGACGAATTCTGACTGTAAATGAAAACAGAAGTTTGTTGGCACTTTGTTACAAAATGAAGAGCAGTTAAAGGAACAGTTCACCGTTTCAGTGCTTCTGATTTGAAACCCAACAGCGGTTCCGGCTGGTGCGGTTCGAAGGGTTCTGATGGATCCGTTCTCCATCCGGGTTAAACGTTAACGGTTCGGTTCTGATTGTTCCCACATTAAAGAATCGTCACATGAAATCTGAAAGAGCTGAAGTTTGGATTTAAGAATATTCAGGAACCGGTTCTGTTGTTTCTCAGTCGGACAAGCGAAGTCTTCAGAACCTCAGAACCCAGAGTTCATGGTTCTCTCCAACTGGGCCACTAGATGTCAGTGTGGGTCAAACAGAACCTTTTCCAGCTGGTTCAGCTTCCTGGTCCAATCCGGTTTGTTAGGTTCTGTGGGTTCAAGGGTTAATATTTAAAGCCAGCAGATCTTCAGTCCAACACCAAACCTGAACATCTGATCCGTTTCTACAGAACCAAGCCCGCCTGTTCAGGCATCTCATGACAACTGGAATCTAGACGTTAATCTCTTTAATAATCTGCCCTCTGAAGAGAGTTATTAGTTTTATTTAGTAAAAATAAAGTTTAGTGGTTTTTAGAGGCTGATGACCTTTGACCCTGGAGGTGAACTCTTCCTTTAACAATCTTTTGGCCCCGCCTTTCATCGACTCCATTCAGATTACATGTTGACAATTAAAATCTGCTGGAGGTGGTGCAAAGCATTATGGGTAAAGACAACTGGAGGCAGAACCGATGGGTCGCCTCTCAACCAGATCACCGTGGCAACCGACGCTCCGGATCCAGAGCCCGACTCTGTGGAAACCTGATCGGAGCCGGCGCCATCCCGGCTCACATGGGGTGGAACAGCAGCGTGCGGTCGTCCCTCTCCGCAGACGCCATGATGTTGGGGAGCAGCGACAGAGAGCCCTTGGGCAAGGCACCGCCGGTTCTCAGGTAAGACGAGACGATCTTCTGGTCCAGGCGCAGCTGACGGGGGATGCTGTCGAACGGCTTCGGGTCCAGGTCCAGGATGGAAACCGAGGAGGAGAAGGCAGGAGACCGGAGGGGTCTTCTCTGAGAGGAGAGACTGGAGGAGGAGGAGGAGAAAGGTTTAATAACCGGAAGGAAGAAGTCTCCGCCTCCTGGTTCTAAAAAGTCTTCATAAGCTACAAACAAGCCGAGGACGGAGACATTTTCTCTTTAAATAAATCAAGATTCAGATTAAACTCACTCTTCATCATCATCCTCCTCTTCCTCACCGCGGGGAACAAGAGCCACCATGAGGGAGCAGTCCTTGGCTGTCATGGCGATCCGGTACTGATGGATCTGCAGACAAAGACAACAGAACTGAAACAGGAAGTCCAGCAACCTCAGTTTTATTTTCTGTTTAAAAAATGTAGACCCCCTCTTCCTCCTCCTCCTCCTCCTCCTGTTCCGAGTTCAGATCAATTCTCCGTGAGCTGAACGTTCTTCAAGTAAAAGCAGCAGGTTTTTATTTTCTGCCGTGTTCAGGTCAAACTATTTTCTGTCATTTCCGGACTGTAATCCGTTACTTTTTGTTCACGGGCTTCGAGCCCCGTGGGTTTTACAATGCTGCGACTAGTTCATCAAAGTTTTTAGTTTTTGACGGGTCAACGTGCTTCATGCCTCCAAAACATTTAGCTTCATCACACTCTGCCCAGTACACGTCTCTCCTGGGGGGTGGGTCCTCCTGACTCAGTGAGACGAACTGTATCAATAAAGATTTAAGATTTAAATCTGACCAATGAAATTACCCAACAGGTGGACCAATGAAACGGGGGTGGGGGGGGGGGACTGCATGTGCAGAGCAACTTTAGCTCAAGTCTGTCAGTGGATCCTGACAGCGGAGCAGGAGGAAGAGGAAGATGAAGATCAGTGACTTCCTGGTAGGCTGCTGTATTTATTTATTTATTTTCACCAGCTGTTACCGGCACCGTTCAGAAAAAACATTTACTGCACGTATTTGTGTTTGTTACCAGTACGTATTTAATTAAAAGCTTCAAAATCTTTCTGTGTAAATATCTCGTGTTACAACGTGGACACCCGCGGCCTATTCTTCTTTCGGCTGCTCCTTCTTCAGGGGTCGCCACAGCGAACTGTCACACGAAGACCTGGTGATTGATTTTAGTCCGGAGGTCCTTCCTGACACCACAAGCCACCGAGCTACCACAGCCTCCGTGTGGAGCAGAGAGCTGCCGTCCAGGGCACCCGGGGGGGCAGATGGTGTGGGTTAAGGGCCTTGCTCAAGGGCCCAGAGTGGGAGGAATGAGGGTGGAGGTGCATGCTTCACTTTCCCCACCCACATTTTGATGTGGTCTGTTTGGGGAATTGAACCGGCAACCTTATTATCACAGGCTCGCCTTTTCCACCTCTGCACCACCACTCCCCGAGCGCGACCTATACATGTACAAAATAACATAGTGGGCGTGGCTCATATTAGGTGGGCGTGGCTCATATTAGGGTGGGCGTGGCTCATATTAGGATGCGCTCAATAGTCCAGAAATGACGGTACTTTTAGTTTGAAGCAGCGTTTCAGCTTTAACGTTTAGTTTCGACCCTCTGAGGTCGTCTGTCACGAACGTCAGGAGTTTATTAAAAACAGTTTCCTGTTGGTAAAACGTCCCGGAAGAAACCGGAAACCTTCGGACCTTCGCAGCGGCAAACTCCACCGAGCCGTCGTCCTCCATCGAACACTTCTGCACCTTCTCCAGGAACGCTTCGCTGTACGGTCCGTCGATCTGCAGCCGCGTCCTGACAGACAGGAAGACGTCAGAGACCAGATGTACCTGTCAGAACCAGAACCGGGGGTGGGGGGCGGGTTCTACCTGTCTTTAGGGAAGTCCTGCAGGTGCTGCTCCACTTGGCGGTACAGAGGATAAAGACCTTCGATGTCCAACGTGTCCAACATCTGGGTCTGAAGGATCCGGAACAGAACGCTGTCGCTGGGTAAACCCTGAGATCCTGCAGGAGTTACACAGAAGGTTCTGATCCGTGAAAACAGAACCAGAACCACACAGAACAGGCCCGGGCACACTTTAAACCCAAACCCACGTTCTCAAAGTAAACAGGGCGTTTCTGGAACCAGGAACTGTCAGATTCAAATTTTACTTTAAACTGTCAGAACTGACGGGTCCAGAACCACAAGTCCAGACGGGTTCTTTAATGACACTAAAAACAGAACCAGAACTTTTAACCAGCTCTGCTCCTGACGGATAAACAAAAAACTTTTATAAAAATTAAAAGAAACGTTAAAAACTGGTTTCTGACCGTGACGAATCCGCTCCTTGTTTAACAGGCTAGCCTGACAGAAGCTCCGCCCCTCTCCTCGTATGTCAGTCACTTGTCCTCTGGCTCCGCCCCCACTGCTCAGCAGGGCATTCACCAGAACCTGAACACCAGAACAAAACCCTTCAAGATCCAAATAAAGCTCGGAGACATTTTGATGTTTTCTTCACCTGAACTGGACTGGATCAGAACCAGAGACTCAAGGTCAGAACCTGAGACTCAAGGTCAGAACCTGAGATTCAAGGTCAGAACCAGAGACTCAGGGTCAGAACCAGAGACTCAAGGTCAGAACCAGTGTCTCAAAGTCCAAGTTTCAATGTGAGACTCAAGGTTAGAACCTGAGACTCAGGGTCAGAACCAGAGTCTCAGGTTCTGAACTCTGGTCTCGGGATCTGTACGGTGGATTACCTGGATGAAGTCGTTCAGAACCGCCTTGCCGGTCATGTGGCCGTTGATCCGGTTGTTCCCGCCCTGGAAGTACGGTCTGAGGTGATGCAGCAGGACGCTGACGTCCGGCGGGTCGTCGCCGCCTTCCTTACTGCTGTAAACACACTGACCGCCCTGAAGCACAGAACCACACAGGTCCGGTTCAGCTTTAGGGTCGTGTCGATGCCAAAAAGTTCTCCCCGACGTCCTCCTCTGAGGAGAGCCGACCCGGGTCTCACCTTAAACACTTTGAAGTTGTTCTGAGGTTCCTCTATCAGGTGTCTGATGGCGAAGTGCATCCTCTGTCTGTTCCTGAACAACGAGACACAAACGAACGTTTAGAGTCCGGTTCAGACTTCAGAACCTGGGCCTGGCCCGTACGACCACATGAAGCTAAAACATTGTGACGTATTTACACAACACAGTTCGACCACTGCCGCCTGAATTAACGCTTCTCGTCAACCGACGGAGTCATTTGATGTATTCTTTAAAAATATGACGTTTCTGTGAATAAAAACGATGAACCGGCTCCAAGACCGTTCGTATTTTAGAATATTAATGTCTGTAGTTACAGAAAAAGTTTTGAGCTGCATGCATTCAGCTGAAAGTGCTGCAAAATAAAAAACTACAGATACATTCATTGTGAAATAATTATTATATTCTTGTAAATGTATGTTATCTCGCTCTACAAATTGATTGACAGCTGCTGATGATTGACGTCACAACTCTTCCTGCCTGTGACGCTGGTAAGAAAACATCGATTCACATGTAAAAGGAGGACGTCTGGTCTTTAAAGTCCTCATGGCTGCTTGTTGTTCACAGAGGGATGAAGTGACAGGAGGTGTGACAGTTGAACATGGAGACCCCCGCCCCGTTTAAAGATGGTTGATTTACTCCTCTCTCACTTCCTCTCCTATAATCTGTAGAACATCAATAAAATCACTCGTCCCCCGGTGAATATACAACAAAGTTCTTACGATCGTTAGGTTGATGGTCCTCCTTTTACATGTCAATACTGGTTCTGTCAGAAACTGGTTGAGTTCTGTTTTTAGCACGTCCTCAGAAAAGAAGACTCTTTTGAACAAAAGACAAAACGTCTCAACAAAGAAGAATCTGTTCAGACGACGTGACTTCACCTGGTTACATTTATCTACCTGGATTGTTGAGCAGCATCAGGAGTAAACGGTTCATGATGCTCCTGATTTAAAAAGGTTTATATTTCAGAACAAACATGTATATTTTGAATTTGTTGTTAATATTTTATGATTGTGGTTCCGGGTTTGAAGGATTTTTTTATTCTCTCTCTAAAATGAACTAAAAACATTTTACTCTGGCAAATAGCTTTGGTTTCATATTTGATATGTTCATGTTTATGTTATTAGAAATACTTTAAATGTTTGAACACTGCTGTTAAAAAGTGCCTTTTTAATGTATTAAACATTTTTTTTATATAAAACAGTACCTTAAAAATGTTCTAAACATCTTTAAGTCATAATTTAATTTTGCACATACTAATGACATTAATCACAAAAATATTTTAGATTAACCGTGATTATTATTATTTTTCTTTGCCCAGCACTAATATTTATTTATTTATATATTTATTTATATATATATACAACTAAATTATATATATTAACACTGTGGTTATATTTATAAATTATATTTATCAATGAGTAAATTATATTTATAAATAAGTAAATTATATTTATCAATGAGTAAATTATATTTATAAATAAGTAAATTATATTTATAAATAAGTAAATTATATTTATAAATGAGTAAATTATATTTATAAATAAGTAAATTATATTTATAAATAAGTAAATTATATTTATAAATGAGTAAATTATATTTATAAATGAGTAAATTATATTTATCAATGAGTAAATTATATTTATAAATAAGTAAATTATATTTATCAATGAGTAAATTATATTTATAAATAAGTAAATATATTTATAAATAAGTGAATTATATTTATAAATGAGTAAATTATATTTATTAATGAGTAAATTATATTTATAAATAAGTAAATATATTTATAAATAAGTGAATTATATTTATAAATGAGTAAATTATATTTATTAATGAGTAAATTATATTTATAAATAAGTAAATTATATTTATAAATAAGTAAATTATATTTATTAATGAGTAAATTATATCTATAAATAAGTAAATTATATTTATTAATGAGTAAATTATATTTATTAATGAGTAAATTATATTTATAAATAAGTAAATGTAACTGTGTGACTTACAGAAACGTGTTGAACTCTTATGAAGCAACTGGACATTTAAAGTTAAATAAAAATATTCTTACTGAAAAAAAAAAAAAAAGCGTGTGCTTCAGAAGCTGCACCTTCCGGGACGGTCAAGGCCCGGCTCGGCTCGGCCCATGGATGATTAATAAAGCGGTTCTGACTGAACTCACCCTGAGAAGAGGTCCAGAGGACAGTACAGACTGCGTCTCTTCCACTTCCCGTGAGCCACCTGTCGACAAAGCACAGATCAGAACCGGACCTGTGGTTCTGATGGTCAGAGTCTGTTCTGGAGAACTGACAGATCAATGAAACCCAACGAGTCATGAATATTTTTACGTTTCAGCATCAGATCTTTATCAACCAGAACCACGAGGTCCATCAGGACGTTTCCTGTTTCAGCAGCTTTGTTTGTTTTCTGCACAGAACGGTTCTGAAGTCGACAGAAAACGGATCGGACCCGAGTTCTGTTTGTTTTGGTTCCTTCAGCAGCAGACGGAGCTTTTGTTGAACCCAAAACATTTCAAACTAAAAGTCTGAGGACAGAGACCGGATCGACCCGCTCCACATCAAGACCTGTTGTTGTTGTTTACCTTGTAGTGCTGGTGCATGCAGTAACGACACACTTTGGTCTTCATGTCTTTGCTGACGTGTTTGGGGGACGGCAGGAAGCCACATTTAGGCTGTAAACAAACAAACAAACAAACAAACAGTCGTGTATTTATTTCCAGGCAGCTGGACGTTCTTCAGACTTTCTGAAGTTTTTCTCTGAGCAGAAACTAAATGAAAAATCATCCATAAATAAATAAATGAATCGTTCAGAAAGTCTGCAGAACTTTAAAAGATCTCAGGGACGTCAAACGTTTCATTTATTACACGTTACATTTTATTTTGAAATTCCACATTTTGAGACTGAAATTTTAACATTTTCTGAATAATTTTAACATCAAAATGTCCAAAAATGTATCGATAATATGAAATGTTTGTTTATGTAAAGGTCATGAACTTTACAGCAGGTCGTGAGAAGAAATGTTTATTTTACTCGGAGTGAACTCACGTGTTTGAATCGGCAAACGTTCGCGCCCTGAGGCCGTTAAAGTCCTACCTTGATCTCGACGCAGAGGGGGGGCGAGTGGGTCGGAGGCTGGGGACACGGAGACGTCAGGTTGGGCAGACAGAGCGCGCAGCCGCTGTAGATGTCCATCACCTTGTCGCAGCGCCACGCTGAAACGTGCACAGGTGGAACGTCAGAGTCATCTGGTCCATAAACATGTAGCGATACGGTTAGCGGCTGACGCTAACGCCCGTTTTTATTTGAAGTGAAATAAATCGGGTTTAGTTTCCTTCAGATAAACCGTGTTCGTGCTGAGAATCTTTTGAGCTGCAGCAATTTCAAACTAACTTCAGGGTCAAAGGTCAGCTTCGTTTGCAGCCGTCAGTGAAATAAAGTCTTCGGTTCTGCAGCCAGTCCAAAAAAAACGACTTCAGAACTTTTTGTGGGAACGTCAGCTAAAGCAGCTGAAACTAAGCTAACGGCAAAAAGTAACGAAACACTAGCTTTAAGTTGGAATATGCTAACAAAGTAGCACAACGCCAGCTAAAAGCTACACGTAGTGCTAAACTAAACGTAGCAAACTGCTAAAACAAAACGCTAGCTAAAAGCTAAAAGCAGCAAATGTTTGTAAATAAAGTTGATCATTTTGTAATAAACAATTTTATCATCATAAACAGTTTGAGGTTTTCTTTTGTTGTGGCTCATCGGAGGCGATCGTCTCGGTCTCACCTGGTCGCAGGTGCTGAATCTTGATTGACAGCTGTCGAACGAAGTCCAGCGGCAGCTTCACCACCTCCTGCAGAGAGGAGCACGCCAGGGCTCTGTCAGTAAAACATCAGCCTCCGTGTCGACCGAGTGTTAGTAAAAACGTATAAATATAAAACGCTCCTCGCCGAGGGGAACCCTCAGCGCCTCCAGAGAAGACCCGAGAACTCCGCACACGTGAAATGTTCTGTTTTCAGGAACTGGTTTGGACGTCTCTGGAAGCGTTCTCAGATTTCTACCAGGGAAACCATCCTGTGACGGCAGCCTGTCAGTAAAATATTTGAGGAAGCAGGAAGTCCCACAGTGACTGGCAGCAGTTTGTTCCTGAACTCAGAGTTATTACATTTATTAAACATTAGACATGTTTGGACCCTTCAGAAGTCAGAACTGGGTCAGAACCAGAAACGTGTTGATGCTGACCAGAACTTTTTCCTCAGAAAGATCATCGGAACCCATCCATCCATCCACCCACCCATCCGTCCATCCACCCACCAACCCATCCATCCACCCACCCACCCACCCATCCGTCCGTCCATCCATCCATCCGTCCACCCACCCACCCACCCACCCATCCATCCATCCATCCATCCATCCATCCATCCATCCATCCA